ATTCATTATTAATACTATTAGTAATATCTTCGTTAAAAACTTTGATGGCGACAGCTCAAACATGAGAGGTTGAGCTTTATTAGCTCCACCTTGCGGAAATTCCGGATACTATTTTTTTACTTGTGGTATTATAGGATAATTTACGGTAACTCGCGGTAGACTGCGTAAAGCGCACCGCAAAATAATGCGGTATCGCCCGCTTGTTTTGAAAGGCTGCATCTGTATAACGTATAAAATGAAAACACAGGTTACACAGACATGGACATATATAAGATACAAAAATTATTAGTACGCATCAGATATGTTTACTGTAAAGGGAATTTGAGAGTGAGAGAAAATCCAAGAGAGAAAAAACTTCTTAACAATAGCATCACTGTGTATCAGCATTCCCAATGCACCAATGAGACACTCGCAGCAGGCGGCCAACGGCACTACATAATTAAAACAAAAATATACTGAAGTATATGGTTTAAAAACACATATTTCAAACTCACGTAAGACGTGAACCCACTGTACTCCATATTGTATTCTTTATGTATGTGTAACTTTCTTCTATCTTTTTTTGTATCTCTGTTATTTCAAACATACCACAAAAATGAGAACTAATATAATCACAGTGTGTCTGTATTAAATTATCTGTTATAAAAGCAAAATAAACTTGCAAGTGCACCTGCAGTAGGTCCCAGCTGCAGCCGTGCAGTCACTGTGCAGTCCTGCTGAGGGAGGTTTTTGTACGGCTGTGTAACACTGTGTGGACAGATATTTACTGCTGAGGTAGTGTTCACTCTGACAGTAATAATCTGCTGTATCTTCAGCCTGGACTCCAGTGATGGTCAGAGTGAAGTCAGTCCCAGATCCACTGCCACTGAAACGCTCTGGGATCCCAGTCTGATGGGTAGTTGCATAATAGATCAGGAGTTTAGGAGCTTCTCCAGTTTTCTGTTGGTACCAGTGGAGGTAGTTGTTGCTATACACTGCAGGACTGGTCTTACAGCTCACAGTGACAGTCTGTCCAGGGAGAACAGATTTCACTGCTGGAGTCTGAGTCACAGTAATCTGTCCACTGGATTCCGAAAACAAGACAGAACACAATAAGTGCAGGAATGTAATAACTGGAATGCTTTAATTTCTTTGACCTATTTTAAACTTCTCTGTAAAGCTTGTTTACATAATATGCTAACAGCTATATACTCCATCACAAATTTTAAAAAATGTTTACATCAACACCTAGCCAAGTATTAAATTATACCCTGAGCAGAGATGAAGAGTGTCCAGAGGAAGATGGTGATGAAAGTCATTCTTGCTGTGGGTTCTGTTACCATGAACGACAGCTCTCAGTCATGAAATGTTCAACTCACAGGGCTATAAACACTCCCAGAGCACTGAAGCATGTGCTGCCAATGCAAAGTGTCTCTTCTATGCAAAGTGTCTTCCTGGGCTCAGCAGCACTTGTAGCCAGTCAGTGCTGGAAACACAGCCTTGGTGCTGTGTGTTGAGACGAAGCAAGGTGATCAGTTTAGCATGAACACTCCCAGGACAGCAGGACTAGACAGAGAGCAGCTTTATAAGGAGCAGAGGATGAGACACAACCAGCTGAGCCCTTATTCCACTTAACACAGCTGGAATGGAGTGGAGTCTGGAGAGTCTGGTTAAAGCAGCACTTGGCTCTGTGTGCTCACAGTAGGACTGAAGGATTAAAGCTCCAAATGTAAGTTGCCATTATAAGACATCAGTTAACTTCTTTACTTCTTCTTAATGTTGAGTGACACAGGTGATTAAGTCCCTCTTCAAGTCCAGCACTTTGTGGGTAGAGCTGGAGAGCCAGAGATTGAACAGGAAATCGCTGATTTCAGGTAGAGACATTTAGGGAATGTGCTCTCTGGTGGCACCAAAGTGATTTCATTTTCTATGAAAATACATTTCCTCTTTACAATTTTTCTTTAAAAAAATATTTTCACCTGAAAATGCAGCTTGAAAAACTATTCCTATACATTGTGTTTGAAAATGGTGCTTATGCTCATCTTGACTGCTTGGATAAAATGATCAAAGAAGGTCCAAGCTGCTCAGAGACACAAGAGAGGTTACTAATGAGTAGGCCACTGGTCCATCTTGCTTTCTCAGTTACAACTACAGTTAGCTAATTGGAAGGCTGAGGGTTGAAATCTCAGCTAAACTTCTGCTGTTGTGCCCTTTCAGCCTGCACTTCATCTGGATTGCTGCAGTAAAATGCTTGACAGGATCAATAGGCTGTCTTAATGGTGACAGCTAAATAAATTACTGATTTGTGATGATTCAAGATGCTCATCTTGAATGTTCTTGAATAGAATCACCTTGAACATTGCAGCTGTGACAGCTTGTTCCACACACCTACACTTCTGTGTGTAAGGAATTGCCTCCTGTTCTCAATAAAGCTCTTTTCACTCCCATTTCTATCCCCATATCCAGCCTTCATCCAATTGTAGATCTTGACATTGAATATTTGATAATCTAAGATCTTTTTGGGATATTGGATTTTCAATCAGTCCTGATTCCTCTCCTGTGTTCTCTGTTTTCACTGTGAATAATGTCTGCAGCCCATCCGGCTTCATTCAACATGTTGTAGACACAATATTTCAACGGAAGCTGTTACACTTTACTGTCGCACACTGGACAAAGGGATGGTGTCCTTAAAGAATGACAGGGTTGGCTAAAGGTGAAGAACTCTTTCAGAAAGAGCTTGGGAAAGCAAAACTTGTTTTGAAGTGCGTTATTTGTTTTAGTAAATGTGCAGCAGGTATATTAGAGGTGTAAACAATACAAGTTTCCACCTCCAGAACTCACTGATCTTGTGCAAACCCTGAATAACATCCCGTTCTATTTTCCCTATAACTGCATTCACCCCCGAAGCATCTTAAATCCTGCAGAGCAACATGCTCTTTGGGTGTCCTGACATAAAAATAGAGTATTGTTACAAGTGGTGGGGATTTGAAATATGGTGAATAAAAGGAATTGAGTGAACGAATAAAGCAATAAGTAAAATAAATAATCATAACCCCCAGCTTATAAGGATTTCTTAAAGAATTAAGCAGTGGTTGGTATGATTAGTTACATTAATTAATTCTTTGTTCTCTGTTTTGATGAGAACAGTAACAAATCAGGCACACTGAGTTAAACAAATATTTACAATGACAATACAAACTGTACACTACACACATCATAAACAAACAACATACAAGTTACTGTATTTACAAGTATACAGACTAGGCCTACATCCCAAACTGCTACTGAATACCTGCCTCTTTAATAATGCCAACAGAGGCCAAAGAAGAGATAAGCTGCCTTCTAAACTAAATAGAATACAGCTTACACTTAGATCTCTCCCTGCACACCCAGATGCCACAGAATAAATGCCCATCTCTCTATTCTAAAATGCACCAGATAAGCAGGAGAGGCAGTTTTAAACTGAGGGATTTTTCACTCAGGAACTCCAAGTTTCCTAAAAACCACAGAATAGCAAGTTCTCCTAGCAAAATTCAAATACTGAGCTAGAATCAGGACTTTTCAGATGATCTTGAAGAAGGTCTTTCCTGGTACAAGTCTCAAGTTCTTTCTGTTCCTGTTCTCTTTCTTCTGGTGTCCTGTTTTAACCTTTTCATCTTTTCTGTCCTTCTCTTGATCGGATCATATGGTGTCATTCTGGACTTTTGATTGACACTTTACTCATTTACTCAGAACTTAATTAAGGTAAACCGAGGTAAACTTTATGACTGCTTTGATCACAGAATCTGGAATCTCTACTTCTCAGCAAACATCACCCCTGCTTTGAAGCTGGAAATGTTTACACTGCCAGGTGTTACACACTTTATCTAGATTCTTAGATACCTCCACTGTAGAAAACCTCAGCCTCTAACAATATTTACAAAAAACAAGAATGCTAATTTTATTTATTTGAGCACAAACAATTTTAATATATGTCATAATATGTCAAGCATGATGAGCCCTAAATGCAGTTTCGTATCTGACTGACTGCACCACCAGACACCTTGAAGGGTGCAATGACCCCTTTTCCCCTGTAACAGTCCCTCAAAGACTGTTGCCTATCAGTCACTGAGAACACTGCTGAGAGAAAAGCTATTTTGTATTTTTCTGTTTCTAGTTTAAAAATGGGGAAGTTGCTCCATCTTACGGCCATTCTGAGCTCATGTTTCTCGCTTTAGCATATTTGTTCCTGTACTGTGTGTTGTTCAGAACCCAGGCTGTACATCTCCAAGCTTGTAACTGAACAGCTCAGTCTTCAATTACCAGACCCTCTACCAAGTGTACAGGGTTTCTCTAAATAAAGGGGACATGATTGAGAACAAAGGTGTCATTTTGATTATGTTGATTTCCCATTAAATATGACCTTTGTGAGGAATTGATTGTTTGAAAATTTTTTTAAACAGAAAGGCCCCGTCAAATTACAAATCTTCTAGTTTTAATTTATTTGTGTCATATTTGTATATATGATGACACTGATAAAAGTAATTGTTGTTGTGGGTTCTGTTGCAATGAAGGACAGCTCTCGGTCACGAAGTGTTAAACTCACAGGGCTATAAACACTCCAGGAGCACTGAAGCATGTGCTGCCAATGCAAAGTGTCTTCCTTAATTAATTAACCTTAATTAATTAAACTGAGCTGTAAACACATTTGTGCACTGAGATCTGTGAAGAAATGTGTGCTGGAACCTGGTTCTGCCTCATTATTAACAAACACAGCTTCATAGCAGGAATATTCCAGGAGTTCCTTTTGTCAACAAACCAGAGGGCTCAGTTTACCTCATGTTTTCCTGCAGATGTACTGTAGTTCATGTTACTTGATGGCACTCAGTGATCTTGTTGTATTCAAATGACATGTGATAGTTACATAGATATTTTGCTAATTGTTTTCGTTAGTACTGCCTATCAGGCAACATCAGGTTAGATTATAAAATGTAATACAGTTGTTCCAGTAATTTCAGCAGAGGTCACTGTTGCAAACTAGAAATCTCTCACACTTAGTGTGGTTCATCTTAGTCAACAAATAATGATACAAAATAAACTTCAGATCCACACAAAGATCACATTTCTGATTTTATGGGTTATATACTGATAAGTATCAGATTTAGTATTATATATTGATCTATTTACTGTATGTATATTTACTCTATATACTGTAGATATACTGTAGTGTATTGCATTGTAGTCAATGATTAAATGTATTTACAAAAAATGAAAGTGAGAGTTTATATTGTGTAGTGGAGGTGTGAATACAGTTTGAACTGATTAACAACTGTAGGTAGAAAGGATTACAGTATTTAGATACAGTATACTGTTCTCATACAGTCTACATTTAAAATCTAAAACCTATTTTTTTTTAACTACTCATCTACAGTTTCCATGTGAAGCATCCTGGAATCACTCCTGTAGTTAAACTACATGTGTGGTACCAGTCGCACATTTCAGATACTGAGTTTAAATACTGCAGAAGGAACTAAACAAGCAAGGGGCCACAAAGAGACTGAACTGACAACACCAGGGTTCAGGGAGCTGTGTACCTGGTTTGTCAGAGAAACACAGAGACACAGTCTTACAGGAGCTGGACTCAGGAGGTGAAAAGAAATATATTTCAACTCTCCCATGTGAGCAATTCCTCCCAACAACTGATAGGTTTAACCCCACTCCTCTCTTTAAGATGAGATGTGTATCCAAAATCAATTTGATATTTTTGAAGCACAGATATGTATTTCTACAATGTGAACTACTACACAGAACTCAGTCACCACTAAACTCTCAGAGCCCCGGGTCAGCACAGCTGCAGGGAGAGGTCCCAGTCAGAGCCCAGGAACTAGGAATCCTCAGGGAGCTCAGGCTAATGGAGTGAAGATCTCCAGGCATCGGAACAGAATCAAGATGCCTGATTCCCTAGGAAGGAATAAAAAGGATCTGCTGGGGAGCTGGAAGAAGAGGGAAAGAAAAG